TGAAGAGAAAAATCACCTGTCAGCGGTCAAAGTTAGGCCTGAGGAGGCATTTATACATTTATGTGTGTTGTGATATTTCATCTACTTCTACAACTTTTTTCAGGAACTGGTCCATTTGTGTGTCAAAGATCACAGAAAGCTTTGTACAAATGTGTGTTTTCTAACATGAATCGCTACATTGTGACGTTCTGCAGTGACCCACACATAACAGGCTCAGAGTAGCAGCTTTGCCTTCAGCAGAAATTTTGATCTTTCTGTACAAAATATTTGAAATATTCTACACGTGCAAACCAGATGTTTGTTCAGTCCGAGTACAAAATGGGAGTAACGAGTGATTAAAATCCGCCCGACTATGACGACGTCATTGGAATTTGTTGCTCCTCAAAGTATTATGGAGTCACTGCCATTTAAATGTTATTTAAATGTTGATATTAAAATGATATGAGCATACTGCAATACATGACTTTATCGCGGCATTATTAAAACTAAGAACAATATGTTTTGTGGAAATAAAAGTCATTTTGTTGGCAATGTTTGTTTGCATAAAACCAAACTTACAGACATAACAGTTAAAAACGTGTAGCTGTGATCATCACAAATACACATTAAAAAAAAGAATAACAGGGTTATAAATGACCCCACGTGGACATTTTAGTCACTTGAGGGTCAAAATATTTAAGTTTCAGTGGTGAACAGCTGCTGCATGAGCATCTAATGAGATTACATCCTCAAACAAAAGACATAACCTCGTCCTGATGTGAACCAGAACCACCACCTCGGTGCCCTCAGCCTCTCGTGTGTGGAAGGCAAACACAGAAGAGGACAGAGGACAAAATCAGCTCTGTAATTGTTTTGATTCGGCAGAAAATGGTCGAGAATAATTATTTGGAAGCAATAGCGAGTGTCCGAGGGCCTCACTGCATCATATTACTTCATACTTTTAATTACTGATGCCAGATGTTTGCGTTTCTTTACTTAAAAAACTTAAATGATGCAGAAAATAAATCCCAAAAGCTGAAACTGTCCTGTTTTTAAAACTTATTTGATCAAAACATGCAGAGCTTCGTGTGTATCAGTGACTACTGCTGTGAGGGAGGCGGCTGCTGTGAGGCAGGTCTCATTTCTAGAAGGTCACATCAGGCTCACAGCAGCTCCACCCACCTGCTGTTTAAATCTTCTGTTTGAGAGGGGCAGCCAATCAGAAGAAAGCAGTTTTAATGCTTTCCCCAATAAAGACGGCATCTGACCAACCTCTCCTGTCCCCTTGATGACAAGCTTTGACACCTTGGTATACACATCTATAAAAGTGTCTGATCACCACTAGAACGATTTCCGGGTGGCTGCACAGGCAGAGAACACCCTCACTGACCTCTGATGCAAACCCAGTCATTCTGTTCTATGGCAGAAACCACTCAGTTTAGACAAGAGTGTCAAGGGTCACTCCTAGCAGGCTTTGATGGTGTCTTGTTTCCAGCAGAGGACAAACAGAGGAGCTGTACCAGGACCAGGAATAAGACAACTAAGGATTATAGGAATCATGCAAAGCTCTCCTAGCAGTGCTGAAGAATAAAAATATGATGCTAAACAAGAAAGGCTAAAAGGTCTACTTTAAACATGCTCCCTATATGCACAGAAGCCCCGCCCACCTGCAGTCACAAACCTTCTGTTTGTGAGGGGCAGCCAATCATAAGAAAGCTGGTTTAAAGGAAGAGAGGAGGGGCTGCAGTAAGGGCTAGTATAACATAAATAACAATGATTCATGCAAAGCTGCTCTAGTAACAAAAATATGAAGCACAGCAGGCTCCCTTTAGGTAATATGATTAAAATAGTCAAATTCAGCCCACTCTGGGAATAGTGGAGTCTATTTTTGACACATGGCCTTGTCAATGAGGGGACAGGGAGGACTGGATTGTTCTGTTGTTAAAAATCAACATTTTCAGAAAGTAAATGATCTCGCAGTGTGCCTCCAAATCACAAGCCTTCAGCTGTGAGCGCTGGCAGGCAGCCCCAGCCAAGGACCAGGCTTCAGCTCCCAGTAAGGCTGCAGTGAATGGAGAGCCGTCAGAGCCTTTCTTCTCGCCGTTTCCTGCTCCTTCAGCTCCTTCTGACTCTGTGCATCCGTCTGCACGATGCGCCATTCACCACCTATTCAGCCAAATGAGCAGCAGCTCCATTTTGCATTGCATAACAAGCAGAAAGCTGTGGTGGTGGTGCAGCAGCAGCAGCAGCCGCTCGGAGAGCCTGAAAAGATGACGAAATGCGAAGCAGCAGCATCACACTAGCAGCTTAGCACGCGAGGCTAAACTCGCCCCCAGCCTCACCTTCTTGATGTTGGTGTACGTGTAGAAATACAGCTCCCTGCCGATGTTGAAGCACACCCGCTCCGACTCCTCGCTCGGGTCTTCGGGCTGCAGCTTCACCATGGAGACCCGGACCGGCGGCAGGAAGCCAGCCGGGGAGGAGTTGGCTGCGGCATTGGAGGAGGAAGAGGCGGCAGCGGCAGCGGCGGCGGCTGCAGCCCCGGGCCCCTGCAGCAGCCCGACCCCTCCGCCGGGTATCGGACCCGGTCCGGCCCCGGGGCCCAGCGTGGCTCCGGCGGACGGCCCCCGCGGCAGCCCGCCCCGCTGCAGCGAGTCTGAGAGGGTGAGCAGCTTGTAGAAGCCCTCTCTGGTCCGGAACTGGGACTTAATCTCATTGATATCCTTCAGAGCGCCGCCATCTCCGGCCATTTTAGTACAAACACGCCGCACAGGAAACGGAGATTCTGACCTGGAAACAAAAACGCGCTAATCACAAGTCCTAGGAGAGATGCGTGAGAGGCGAGCATGAGGCGCAGCAGCCGAGCTCAGCAAGGCCGACCCGCACAGCCCGTCCGCCCCGCTGCATTTTACACCGGCACCCCCACTGCCTGCTAAATAAACCCCCGGAGACAGCCCCACCGAGCCGGTGTTAGCATCCTCCTCCGCCGGGTCTCTGCCTGCCTTCATCCAGCGTGCGTAAAGTACGTGTGACGGTGCGTCAGCTGCTGCTGCTGGCCCGGCCTGGCACTGCGCACTCCCACTGTGGTCGGGGGGCAAAGAGAGGACATCCAGCCCCCGTCAGCCTCATTCAACCACCCCACCCCCAACACTTAACAACCAGTGGACCGGCCAGGACCACGGGCGTTTCCAAGATTTTTGTGGGCAGAGGGGGCGAGAATAAGGGGGCGCACGGGAAATCTGAGTATTTGATCAGAAATAAATCCAGACTTATGATGTGCTGACAGGTGTGTTACATGAAAAGTAGCACTGCTAAGAGCTTAAGCCTTGTTTTTTTATTTAAAAGTGGTGAAACATCGGATTATCCACTGGGTCTTCTGGGTAGGGGGCCAGTGCACAGCTGAGTGCCCATCCAAGACACAAGCAAAAGAGGGAAAATCATTGAATTTAATTACATATTTTAAATTCTTGCCCTTTAAA